AAAAAAAAAAAAAAAAAAAAAAAAAAAAAAAAAAAAAAAACAGGCTCCTGGCTGGCTCAGCTGGAAGAACGTGCAACTCTTCATCTCAAGGTCTTGAGTTTGAGCTCCAGACTGGATGTACAGATTACTAAAAAAAAAATTTTTTAAAGACATATATAAAAAACAACGAAATAGTGAAACAAAACAAAATCTGCACAGAACACATCAGTTAATACAAGTTTTCTTCCCACCTTTGGTTTTTCAAATTTTCCACAAATATACATCTACACTGAAAAAAAAATACAGAAAATATACTAGATAGAGGCTTTAGCTGGAAAATATCCAAGTTACTCAAGTCAATTTTAATGCACTTTAGCCAGCTACTATTTTTAGTAATGATTGTCCTCAATTCCTCTCTGCTTCACAAGTGTCAGTAAATTTAAAAAATCACTTTCAGATTTTTAAGCTTAAATACTTGATGTCAAATAAAAATAAGAGAAAAAAGTAATTTTAATTATTTAAATCACATCTTGATTAGTCAAATAAGTCTACTTGATAATCAATCAAGACTTGATGTGAAGACCTCTACAATAGGCCATTCTCTTAATCTAATTATCTTCAAAGTCATACAGAACTAAAATAAAATATACTGCTTTACATATTACTACTAGTATTCCAAAACTTTCAGCTTTTAAAAGCGTAGGAAAGAGGGGCGCCTGGGTGGCTCAGTCGGTTAAGCGTCCGACTTTGGCTCAGGTCATGATCTCACGGTCCATGAGTTCGAGCCCTGCGTCAGGCTCTGTGCTGACAGCTCAGAGCCTGGAGCCTGTTTCAGATTGTGTCTCCCTCTCTCTCTGACCCTCCCCCATTCACATTGTCTCTATCTCAAAAATAAATAAACAAACGTTAAAAAAAAATTTTAAAGCATAGGAAAGAAAACTGGGTAACAATATTAATGCAGTCTGATAGACAAGAATAAAAAGTAAAGACAAAATGACTAAAGAAATGCTGGCAAACAACATCCTGAATGGAGGAAAACTAAATCAAGAAAGTCATAAGCAAGTTGCAGCAATGACGAATAAAAGACAAAGGCATAAAGGACCATGTTAACTGTCAGGAAGAGGAAAAACCAACTTAACAGCAAATAGTCTAGAGAAAAAAACCAACGCCTCCTGTGGCCGTTCCCCAGTGCCCCCAAATTACATGCCTTACAAATCACACACTGAAAAGATACATAAAGAAAAAGAAAAGGGGCACCTGGGTGACTCAGTTGTTGAGCATCGACTCTTGATTTCTGCTCAGGTTACGATCCCAGGGTCGTGGGATCGAGCCCCGAGTCAGGCTCTGCACTCAACACGGAGCCTGTTTGGAATTCCCTCTGCCCCTCTCCCCATCTCGCTCTCTAAAACTGAAAAAGAAAGAATAAAAAGAAAAAGAAAGAAAAAGGAAAACAGAGGGCCGTATTACTGTCTCATTAAGTTCCTACAGCTTCTTTCCTATCCAGCCCTTTATAAAGTGTTAGTCTAGCAAGAGGTTACAAACAGTAGTTATTTTTCTTATGCTCAGTATTGTTTTATTTGCTCTATTCCTTGATTAAATAACAGGTGAGGGCACCTGGGTGGTTCAGTCTGTTAAGCACCCGACTTCCTCTCAGGTCATGATCTCTCAGTTAGTGAGTTCAAGCCCCATATGCAGCTCCCGAGCTGACAGCTTGGAGCCTGCTTCAGATTCTGTCTCCCTCTCTCTCTGCTCCTCCCCTGCTTGCCTTCAGTCTCTCACTCTCAAACAAAAAAAAAAATTTTTTTTAAGTAACATTTGAACATATTCAATGGCCATATTAAAAAGTAGAAGGTTGGTGGTGGTGCCTGGGTGGCTCAATCAGTGAAGCGTTCAACTTTGGCTCAGGTCATGATCGCACGGTTTGTGGGTTCAAGCCCTGCATCCGGCTCTGTGCTGACAGCTCAGAGCCTGGAGCCTGCTTGGGATTCTGTGTCTCCCTCTCTCTCCCTCTCTCTCTCTCTCTGCCCCTCCCCTACTCACACTCTCTCTCAAAAATAAATACTAAAAAAAAATTTTTTTTAAAAAGGTAGAAGGCTGAACAATAAGTCAAGGGTTTGTGAGATTCCAAAGCTAGAAAGAAACACAAGAATCTCACAATGAGGGAGGGGAAAGAGGGAGGATATCAGTTCTTTAAAATAAATATAGAATTATAAGAAAAATTCCACATTTATAAATGGGATTCTACTGGCTACAGGTGAGGAACCTATTACTACCGTATAATCTAATAAATCTGAACATTTTCTTATAACTGTATCAAGACCAATTCTCTTCTGGGAAGAAAAGTGAGCAGAGTGGCTTTTTCCATTCTCTTCATGCAAACAACTACCCAAAAAAAAAAAAAAAAAATGGGGGTGGGGGATAAATCCCAAGGCACCTAGCTGGCTCAATCACAGTTAAGCATCCAATTCCTGGTTTCAGCTCAGGTTATGATCTCATGATACTTGAGTGTGAACCCCTCATCTGGCTCCATGCTTACAGCACAGGGCCTGCTTGGGATTCATTCTCTCTCTCTCTCTCTCTCTCTCTCTCTCTCTCTCTCTCTCTCTCTCCCCCCCCCCCACTCTCCCCTTCCCCTGCTCGTGCTCTCTCAAGATAGTAAGAAAACTTTAAGAAAAAAATGTTTTAATAAAAAAAGGGTAAATTCCACTCATTTTGTTTGAGGGAGGGGGGAAAATGTTTGCCACCCTTCCTCCAAAATTTTCTAAATTTACCTGCAGTACCTATGTTGCACAGTTCCAGAAGTTATACTATCCAGTGACCCTTAAAATGCTGCATTAAAAGAACCGCAAACAGGGATGCCTGGGTGGCTCAGTCAGTTAAGTGTCCGACTTCAGCTGAAGTCATGATCTCATGGTTCCTGGGTTTGAGCCCCTGCATCAGGTTCTGTGCTCAGAGCCTGGAGCGTGCTTCAGATTCTGTCTCCCTCTCTCTCTCTCTGCCCCTCCCCCGCTTGTGCTCTGTCTCTAAAATAAACATTAAAAACAAACAAACAAAAAGCTGCAAACAGCAAATTTGAATCAATTATTGAGAGAAAAAAAAGACCTAGAAAATTAAAATAGGTAAAATCTATTTAAGTACGTACAAAAAGCAAAACAACCTCAGAAAATATTCATGTACAATACCTCAGTAACCCTGGTACTTCCTTAAAACTTGATGCCTCTTTGGATATATTAAGAGCTCACCTTCCAGACCTTCCAACCACCACTTAGGTTGTACCATATGAAATGATCATTTTTACAGGTGAAAAATGATTGAAATTGAGGTACAAACTGCCAATTATAAAATAAATAAGTCATGGGGCACCTGTGTGGCTCAGTTGATTTCTGCTCAGGTCATGAGCTCAGGGTCATGAAATCAAACCCATCGTTGGGCTCCTGTCCCTCCCTCTCCCTCTGTCCTTACTTTGCTTATATGCATGAGTATGCTCTCTCTCTCAAATAAAAACAAAAAGGGGCGGGGGGGGGTGGGGTGGGAAGCCTAGGTGGCTCAGTCAGTTAAGCGTTTGACTCCGACTCAGGTCATGATCTCACAGTTTGTGGGTTCAAGACCCATGTTGGGCTCTGTGCTGACAGCTCAGAGCCTGGAGCCTGCTTCGGATTCTGTGTCTCCCTCGCTCTCTGCCCGCCCCCCCTTGCTCTGTGTCTCAAATAAACATTTAAAAAAAACTGTAAAATAAATAAGTCACAATGCTATAAAGTACATACAGCATAAGAAATACTGGCATGGGGCGCCTGGGTGGCGCAGTCGGTTAAGCGTCCAACTTCAGCCAGGTCACGATCTCGCGGTCCGTGAGTTCGAGCCCCGCGTCAGGCTCTGGGCTGATGGCTCAGAGCCTGGAGCCTGTTTCCGATTCTGTGTCTCCCTCTCTCTCTGCCCCTCCCCCGTTCATGCTCTGTCTCTCTCTGTCCCAAAAATAAATAAACGTTGAAAAAAAAATTAAAAAAAAAAAATACTGTCAATAATATAACTTGGTATGGTGACAAACTACACTTATTGTGGTGAGCACTGCACAATGTATAGAATTACTGAATCACAACGTTGTACACCCAAACTAGTATCCCATGCATGTTCACTATACTTCAACTAAAAATTGACTGAAATTGGCAATTTCATATAGTTCAACCTCATAATTCATTCAACACAAGCAGAAATATAAATGCAAATTTGTCCTCCCTGGGCTTGGACCTAGTTTGCGGTGACATGGCTACACGCACCAACAAAGACGGAATTGTCAATAAACATGGGACATGTTATGGTGCCTCCCTCAGGAAAATGGTGAAGACTGAAATGAGCCAGCACATGGGGCGCCTGGGTGGCTCGGTTGAGCGTCCAACTCCGGCTTGGGCCATAATCTCACATTCGTGGGTTCAAGCCCCACATCAGGCTCTGTGCTGACAGCTTGAAGCCTGAAGCCTGCTTTGGATTCCTTGTCTCCCTGTCTTTCTCTGCCTTTCCCCTGCGTGCACTCTGTCTCTCTCTCTCTCAAAATATAAAAATAAAAAACATTAAAAAAAAGTTTTGGGGAGGGGTGCCTGGGTGGCTCAGTCAGTTGAGCGCCTGTCAGTTGTGCTTCAGATTCTGTGTCTCCCTCGTTCTCTGCCCCTCTCCCGCTCTCTCCTGCCCTCTCTGCTCCTACCCCGCTTGCACTCTGGTCTCTCAAAAATAAAATATATTTTTTAAAAAGAAACAAGCCAGCACACAAGTACACTTCCTCCTTGTGTGGCAAAACCAGGATGAAAAGATGAGCTGTGGGGATCTGGCATTGTGGTTCCTGCATGCAAACCATAGCGAGCGGGTGGTGCCTGGAACTACAACACCACGTCTGCTGTCACAGCAAAGTCAGTCATGAGAAGACTGAAGGAGTTGAAAGAAGCTCCACCATTTGAAATATTGCTAGCCTATAATAAATGGGGCAATTTATACAACAAAATTTAAATAAATAATTTATGTAGAAATGCAAATTTTGAGAATGGAAGCTTTCTATTCAATGAAATCAGTAGCTAAGTTGGCTGGATCAAAAAACCAAAGTTGTAGGTGTAATCTAGATCTGAATTTAGATTCATTTCCTAGCTCTCCATCCACTTGTCACAAGGCAAAGTTTTTAAAAGTTGCAGGGGCGCCTGGGTGGCTCAGAAGCGTGCAACTTTGGCTCAGGTCAGGATCTCAGTTTGTGGTCGAGCCCTGCCTCAGGCTCTGTGTTGACAGCTCAGAGCCTGGAGCCTGCTTCCGATTCTGTCTGATTCTGTCTCATTCTCTCTGCCCCTCCCCCACTCACTGTCTCAAAAATGCAAAAAAAAAAAAAAAATTTTTTTTTTTTTTTTTTTTTTTTTAAATAAGCTGCAGCCTCAGAGCCCCCAGCTGAGCTTCTGACTTCAGCTCAGGTCGTGATCTCACAGTTTGTGAGTTCAAGCCCTGCATCGGGGTCTCTGCTGTCAGCATGGAAGCGGCCTCCAATCCTCTGTTCCCCTCTCTTTGCCCCTCCCCTGCTTGCACTCACTCTCAAGTAAACATTTAAATATATACAACAAATAAATAAGTAGTTTCAGCCTGCAAATTCATAAAATAACTTTCAGAAAAGAAATCTCTCAGGGTGCCTGGGTGGCTCAGTTGGTTGAGTGTCACACTCTTGATTCTGGCTCGGCTCGTGATCCCAGCCAGGGTCGTGGGATCAATCCCCAAGTCGGGCTCCACACTATCTGTGGAGCCTGCTTAAGATTCTCTCTCGGGGTGTCTGGGGTGGCTCAGTCAGTTAAGCGTCCAACTTTGATTTCAGCTCAGAACAGGATCTCCTAGCTTGTGAGATCGCCCCTTGCTGGGCTCTGCAGACAGCAGGAAGCTGGCTAGGGATGCTCTCTGCCCCTCCCCCCACTCACTGTCTCTCTCACACACACATGCACACTCTCTCTCTCCCTCAAAATAAATAATACACTAAAAAAGGTTAAAAAAAAAAGAAAGAAAAGTCTCACTCTCTCCCCACTAGCTCGCACACATACTCTCATAAATACTAAAAAAATAAAATAAAGTAAAATCTCTCATTATACAGATGATAAAAACAGGCCTTGAAAGTAACCATGTCTCAAGAGAGTGATCCACATAAAATCTGAACGTAACAAACCTCCCCCTAAATTTAATGACTTCTTGTGAAGTGCTTGTTCTACTATCTCTTGTTGCCTCTCCACTGGAAAATATACTCGACCTCCACACCCCTGTCTCCTTCCTATGAAAGAAAATGCTAGGGGCGCCCAGGGTGGCTCAGAAAAGTTAAGCATCCAACTCTTGGTTTCTGCTCAGGTCATAATCTCACAACTAGTGGGTTTGAGCCCACCATCAGGCTCTGCACTGGCAGCTCGGGGCCTACTTGGGATTATCCCTCTTTCTCTCTGCCCCTCCCCAACTCACTCGCAGGCACTCTCAAAATTAAACAAACTTTTTTTTTTTTTTTTTTTTTTAATTTTTTACAAAGGGGCGCCCGGGTGGCTCAGTCAGTTGGATGTCCAACTCTTGATCTCAGCTCAGGTCATGATCTCACGGTTCGTGGGTTTGAGTCCCACTTTGGGAGAGCCTGCTTGGGATTCTGTCTCTCCCTCCCTCTCTCTGCCCCTCCCCCACTCTCCCTCTCAAAAGAAAAAAAATGTTAAACAGAGAAATTAAGTCAAAAGACTCTTCAAAGGAACTTCTAAGTTACAAAATTAAAATCTATGGAACAGAAATAAGAGCTTCAAGGAGACTGGACTAATGTTTACATACAAGCACAGAAGCTATGAGCCTGGGAGTGCAACATCCATCCCAGTGATGTTACCTATTTACTGCCACCTTTCCTAATGTTCTTAATCCTTACCTGTAAAATAAGTGGTATATCTACTTTGCAGGGTTTTTTTTTTTTTGAGGATTGAGAGAAATAATAAGTACCTGGCATAATTAATAGATGTTATTATAGAATTTTATTATCACAGAGTCAATGAAAACTTTTTAAAGCTTTTCAGTTTGTTAGCACTACTTGACAACAGCAGTCAATAAAGTACATTTGTAGTTTTCTAGTCCTTGATACAGGACAGGGACCAGCAATAGGTATGGTGCCTTTATTAAACATCACTGTTACTAATTCAAATTAACTCAATTACACATACTAACAGAAGAAATAATTCTAAAAACGTTTATACATTCACTGCAATATAAACTCCTTGAAGAGACCCTTTGTCTATTTTGTTTAATGATGAATCCCAAGTGTCTAGAACAGTGCCTGGTACATAGTTGGATCTCATTATGTATTTGTCAAATGCCTTTGGAACTTACTTTTAACACTCTGAATACTAAAGGCTTTCAAAACACAATAATCTTGACATTCAAGTACAATTTTTTTCTTCTTGTACCAGCCTAAAGAGAACAACCTCTCACTCTAGAATTAACTCCTATCTTCCCTAGAAACAGGCAAAAAAAAAATCTTGTGTAAGCCTTCTGAAGAACTTTTTTTTTTTTTAATTTTTTTTTCAACGTTTATTTATTTTTGGGACAGAGAGAGACAGAGCATGAACGGGGGAGGGGCAGAGAGAGAGGGAGACACAGAATCGGAAACAGGCTCCAGGCTCTGAGCCATCAGCCCAGAGCCCGACGCGGGGCTCGAACTCCCGGACCGCGAGATCGTGACCTGGCTGAAGTCGGACGCTTAACCGACTGCGCCACCAGGCGCCCCGCCTTCTGAAGAACTTTAAAACATTCCCAACTAGCTTCTGTTAGGTAGAAACAGGACAACCTTGGGGTGCCTGGGTAGCACAGTGTGTTAAGCGTCAGGACTCCTGGTCTCAGCTCGGATCATGATCTCACTGAGCCCAGCACTGGGCTCTGCACCGCTGGCACGGAGCCTGCTTGGGATTCTCTCTTCTCTGCCCCTTCCCCACTTGTGCGTTTTCTCTCTCTCTCTCTCTCAAAATAAATTAACTTTAAAAAAAATTTTTGTTTTAAATAGGACAACCTTCTACCCAGATTCTACAATTTTGACTGCAAAGAAGTACCACTCTCATTAGTCTCACGATTGGGGAAGTGGGAAATTCCCTCTGACTTCCATCAAAACAGGAGTTTTCTCTTCCAAGAGTTTAAGAGGATATCCCCTCAGGCAGCCAAAAATGTTAAGCCTTGGTAGAATCAAAAAGATGAGGTGCAGAGAAAACAGACATAGAAAATAAGAGATTTAAAAAGAAAAGAGAGGGGTGCCTGGGTAGCTCAGTCGGTTAAGCATTCAACTTCAGCTCAGGTCATGATCTCACAAGTTCGTGAGTTCGAGCCCCGCGTCAGGCTCTGTGCTGACAGCTCAGAGCCTGAAGCCTGCTTCAAATTCTATGTCTCCCTCTCTCTCTGCTCCTCCCCCACTCATGCTCTGTCTCTCCTTCAAAAATAAATAAAAACATTAAAAAAAATTTTTTTTAATAAAAAGAAAAGAGATTGGCAAGATAAGCGACCTAAGACACTGACATATGGGGGAAAAAAGGGAAAAAAAAGGTCAAGGTCTAAATCTTTTGTCATATTTTTGCAGAATTAGAAGACACATTTGTTTTAGACTACATCAAAGAAAAAAAGCACCAAAAATAACCCTTGTACTGATACAGCTTAAAAGAAAGGTTACACCATTCAAATTTATTACTAATTTCATTTATTCTTCTAAGTCTCTGAACAGCCAAGAAACCTTCACCAAAATTTCAGCAGTTTTAAAGCTGTGAGAAAGAAACCTATTCTGCAGATTTTGTATTAATGAATTCCTTTTGGAAATTCAACTAAAAACAAAGTCCTAACTGGGGCGCCTGGGTGGCTCAGTTGGTTAAGCGTCCAACTCTTGATTTCGGCTTAGGTCATGATCTCAGGGCTCATAAGTTTGAGCCCTCTGTGCTGACAGCGTGAAGCCTGCTTGGAATTCTCTCAGCCCCTCCCCCACTCACACACACATGGGCTCTCTCTAAAAATAAACAAACATTTTAAAAAAATAAAATTATAACTGTCAGTGATATTTCCTAGTCAAAGAACACACAGTGTTTTGAAATTTTCATGATATTCTTCTCATAAAGTTTTACTACTTAAAACAACACATTATAACAAATAAATACAATGACTAACCACCAAGGTACAAGTAGTATTAATTGGTAGCATTTTATTAATCAGAACCCATTCACTGCCCAAGGCTTACATTAAGCCTTTAGAATCACATTTCACAAAACTGGTTATAGGTAGCATATACACTATATGTACCTACTATAGATAGTATCAGTATGTTCCTAGTGAGTAATCTTGAGACTGCTAGCAAAAATATTTTAATCCTAAATTATATTTTTATTCTATGGAATCTTTCATTCCAGATCCACATACAACAGGTGTTTTATTTGTCAGAGAGACATGAACATTCTCTTG